TATATATATATATATATATATATATATATATATATATATATAGTGTGTAACAAAAGTAATTTCCCTTTGGGATTATTAAAGTATGTCTGAGTCAGTCTGAGTCTGTTATTTGAAGAGTAAAATATCCCTGTTTTTTCACCTCCAGTCCAGTAGGGGGCAGCACATTTTAGCTGAGGCGCTGGCTCCTCTCTCACTGAAATAAGGAACAGTCTGTCCCGTCACCGGCGTTTTATTTAGCAGCAGAAGGTCGTCAGCAGCTGGACGGAATTAATCGGAAAAATCAGGGCAAAATTAGATGAGAGAATCTATATGTGTTGATAATTGGGGCCGTAAACCCGGGGTGATGGGAGTATAAGGGAAAGCGAAAACCGAAAGCCACACTTCGCGTTTTATCCGGTTGTTATGAAACCTCGCTAGCCCCCCGTTAGCCACTGACTACCATCGCAGTTTGGATCGGAGCTTTTGAAAAGTGGCCCGAGAAGCTGTCAGTTAGTGAAGCAAACTGCTCTAGAAAAAAAACAGTTTGGAGCGGAACTTTGACTCTTCCCGTCCTCTTCCCTCTCGTTGGACCCTGAAGTCAGGGCTTGGCTACTCGGATCCAGGATCGTCGCTGTTGAGCGGAGAGCGGCTGGGTTGATGGCAGCCACAGCCGGAGCCCGGAGGTTACCCATGGGTGTGCGGACGTTCAGTGACTTCCTCCACATCGCCACTGTGGGCTCTCCTCGCTCCTGTCGTTCTGCGTTACAAAGAGTATGTCTGAGGCAAAACATAAGGTGAGACTTTTCCAGGAGAAAATCTGGTTGAAACTGGCTTGTTCTAACCGTTTGTTAATGTTATGCTTGTCAAAAATTCACTTACCAGTGCTGTTTACACGGCTCTGCCGCTTTTTTCAACCAAACTGTCAGAAATGTCCTATATTCTCCAGTTAAATTATTATAAACATACTATAAAAGCAGAGTTTTGTGATGTATGCAGCCTGTGGAACAAACCATGTGATGTTTTGATGTTCTAACTTTAGAGTGGTCGACTTGCTGGTATGGGACTTTTCTATGGCGGATACTAATACTTAACAATTAGACCAATTGATAGGCTGATATGTAAAATTTTAGTTTTTGTATCAAACTTTGTACTTTGTCATTTTTCTCTTTCATTACTTTTTATGCAGTATTGATCTTTGTTTGTATTTCCCAAAAAAAAAAAAACTATGAATTTGCATCCGATTACAAATCTTTCCAGAAAACACATAAGCCAGTAAGTTTTTCAGTTAATTATTTTAAAAGCTGTCATTTTTTAACTTTAGTGACATGATTGATTGCATTTAAAATAAGACCCTTCTGCCTTTTTCATTGGTAAATAAAAGCATGATCTCTTTCTGTCATGTAACCATCAAAAAGCCTACATTTTCAAATAAAACAAAGCAGTTCAATCCTTACCTTTCACTGTCAAACGTAACTTTTCATGTTTGACAATAGCTGTCATTTGTAGGACTGTCCCAGTCTCTCATCAATATCAGGCAAAAAACTATGGGATTACATCGACCTACGCCTAAAATCTCCAATATTGGCATGCTGATAGAAGCAATGCTTCTGTCTGAAGTTTATGTGACCTGTTTGTTATAAGTGGGTCAGATGTTCTCATACCATATCATATTGTTCTTTGCTTTTGTTCTCTGTCTGAATGATATCAGTTGATTAAACCTTTTCTAACAATACAAAATAAGTATGTCTGATTCATGCTGATATCTATATCAAAATAGCAATATCTGTGTCGGATATAAAAAAAAAAAGTAGTATCAGGACATGTTTGTTGCATAACAAATCAGTTTTGTTTGTTTTTACATTTTATGATAACATTTACTTTCAGTCTATTTGGCTGTTTTGGGTGAAACAAGATGTTTGAAATTTTTAATTTCCTTAATTGTGATATCTTCCCACTCACTGTGACCTGATTAGACATTAATTGAGGAAATTACAGGCTTTAAAAGTCTGTATTTACCCAGATATATTGTTAGCATGCAAATTTCACATCTATTGCATTTCCAATGATTACATTTGACAACCAAATAAAGGTTAGTTTTGTAATCTGATCTACTTTTAGTAGAAATGATTATTTCAGCCAATACAGAGTTTTATATTTAAGACTATATTTATCAAGGTGTGAAAATGTGAAGTCATTCAACTATTAGTAATAAATAGTTATTATCTTAAAGGTAATAAAGGTAACTTCATTTATGTAACAGAAGTTTTTTATTAAGAATTTACAATTTTTAAAACAGAATAAAATGTTGAACTTTCTTCACCATTTCTGATTAGGTGGTTCACTAAAGCTTCTCTTTTTGTATTTACCCAGATAATGTAGGTAGTTACTCTGTCGCTAAGGTTTCCTAACATTACCAAATGCAGCATGTCCCTCAATAGGCCAAAAGCTTTAAAAGATAAAACTGAGACTTTGTGTTTTTTCTAACTATAGACACTTATCAACATGTGGTAGATAATAATTTTTGGCCAGTAGGTCAGATAAAACAGAAATTCTTTAAATTTAGATCATCAGCTCATTTATCTTTGCATTTCCTCTAGTCTAAATAAAATGTTTGATTGTCTGTCTGGAGTAAATATTAATAACAAATCTGAGGATTTCCGCCTGTGCAAAAATACTTAAAAATCATTCAGTATAAATTTGTAAAGCAATTTAATTTGGAGGTCAATGGGAATACCTTATTAATGACCAAGGAGGAGCATCAATGACTACTAGAAGTTAAAAACACAAGATCACACCGACCTGTCAGTCACATTAGACAGGCTTTTTAGACTGGAAAAGAAAACCTCTTATCTAAAACTATGAAAGGCCAGATCCTAGGTCATATAGTCCATATGAATCAACTGCTAAAGTTGTTTTTTCTTTTTCGTATTTACAGAAACTGTCAAACCCAGAAACCCCCAGCATTCTCCCAGCTCTGACCTTTTATCCCATTATAGTCTAGTTCACTGAGGCACCAGAACACAGGAGAACCTTTGGTTGCTTTCTATGCTCTAGGCACCTTTTTGTTTAGTCTAAATGTAACTTACAGAGGATTTGCTCTCCCCTTTTAGACACCTATCGTCATGTGGGATTTTGATGACAAGAAGTCCCAAAGTGCTTTCCCTTCAGCAAGGGGACACGATGAGTAGCGCACCGCAGAGTAGAAGCTTCATCTCCCTCACCAACAAGCGGAAGGAGTACTCTGAGCGCCGAATACTTGGGTGAGATTTCCCAACAAGCTGTTATTGATTTATTTTTTTTTTTTTAAGAATCACTTTTTCACCTTTCATTTCTTCCTGGTACAGTTACTCTATGCAGGAGATGTATGATGTGGTGGCCAACGTTGACGACTACAAGCTCTTTGTGCCTTGGTGTAAAAAGTCTCAGACCATCATGAGAAGGACCGGTCACTCTAAAGCCCAGCTGGAAGTGGGATTCCCTCCTGTGATGGAGAGATACACGTCTATGATCACTAGTGTTAGACCTCATTTAGTTAAAGTAAGGCTCCACTGGTGTAGCACTGTGAATTATCAGCAATATTTAACCAAACACATATGGGTTTACCACCTTTAGCTGTACCTGGGCTTGCCTAATCTGTTGTTTTTTTTGTGTGTGTGTGTGTGTGTGTGTGTCGTTTCAGGCTGTGTGTACAGATGGAAAGCTGTTCAATCATTTGGAGACAATATGGCGCTTTAGTCCTGGCATTCCTGGCTACCCTCGCACATGCACTGTAGACTTTTCAGTAAGTATTTGAAGGCCTGTATCATGAGGCTGTTGGCTAAGTTGGGAAAATGTTTTTATTTCTTTTTGGTTTAGAAAGGTTGTTGTTGTTTTACTGTGAATGTGGGAACTAATTACCTCCAAAAAGGAGGTCATGTATTTGGTGGGGTTGGTTTGTTTGTTAGCAGGTCTACTGAAATGTAATAGATGGATTGGTCTGAAAAATGTTTTTTTAAACCATAGCCGCCTCTGCAGCCCTGAACACACCAAACATGATTTTGTGCCCATTCCGACAAAAAATTGTGAAGTAAAAGGTTGCAGTGCTTAAAGGGCTCATTATGCTTGTTGCACAGACATTCCGTGTGGAAAATGAGCCGCATTTATACTCTGCAGCATTTATACTCTGCAGCATTTATACTCTGTGCAGAAGCCACCGTTAACAACTGATGCTTCATTAATTTGAAGCTGAAAGTTAATACTAGTGTCAATATCTTGCATAACTACACAGTCTTGTAATTCAGGTAATGGCTAAAAAATGTTTTTAAAGTCGTAGGGAAATCATATTTAAATGTCAAATCATTCTGGCTTAAACATGGATATAAATGTACCCTTTATCAGATGATATTGTCCCAATATTTAGAAAATCCTGCCTTAAAACCTGTGGGGTTTTGTTTTTCGTTATCTTATGCAGGCCAGTTAGTTATACGTCAGCTTGTACACCTAAATTCGGCCAATCATATTAATGGTCATCTGGAAATCAAATTTTTCGCTCATAGCATCTTGATTCATATGTCGAAGTTAATATTCCTAACGGTTGAAATAAAAATCCTTATTTACTTTACGATTGAGTTCCGTCCCAGTGTTCACGGGGATGGACGTCTGTGTCTTCAGCAGGCGTAGAGCTAACAGAACTGGCAGCGTTGCGAAGCAAGGGCTCAAACATGTACGGCTGTAAGCCTTCTACACCAAACCAAGCTTCTGCTGGCCTGGCGTCCTCTTCCACAGCAACTTGGTCCACGCTTTCCTCCTCTAAATAAAAAAATTATGACGGAGGAGACTCATCCACGACCTCCGACACAAAACTCTCCTTCTTTTGCATGTTTCTGCTGTCCATAGCGTTCCTTGAAGGTGTCGATGCTAAGTCACCAATTTAGTGCTACTTGGTTCAAATGGAATTTCCCATTGGGAACCGACTAGCACTAAGTTGCTAACTGGTTAGCAATGATGCTTCCAAGACACTAGCCACAATCAAACTTGCTTGCAAACCTTCTGCCACAACAAACCTGCCCTCTTGATAAACGACCATCCACATTCACTTTATTCGGAAATGCAGCGGTTGGGACGGCCGTTTCCCTACGACTTTAATACCAGCAATCCAATTTGAGATTGTATTGCATCTAAATGATTTAATTATTAATCTCAGAATAAGACTTTCATTTATTCTTGAAATTTAAATCAAAACCAAGCCCCAGATTCCTGGACATTTAGAAATGTGGAGATAGACTGCCTGCCGGAGGTCTTTGATTTCTAATTTAGGTAAAATTAGTTGTATTTTTTTAGTCTGACTGAAGAAGCTGGTATACCCGATTACTCTGTTGTTTTGATTGTGTAATTTATATGTGGCTGTTTTCAGTTTCCTATGAGGCACAAGCATATGTGTTTAGTTTAGTATTTTATTAGGGATGAAACGGGTTTAAAAAACATTATCAAATAATTACAGCATTTGTAATTAATTGCATTTTAATTCAAAACCTTATATAAACAAAATTAAACACCTTTTCATTTCAAAAACTCCTTGTAATAATAATAATTTAATAATAAATAATATATTAAATAATTTCTAATACCAACAACTATGACAGTTCAGCTCTGCATAACGCATTTATTAACAATTCCTACTGAGTGTCCAGGATTTAGTGCAATTAAACAAACAACCAATGAGGTTACTGTAGCTGGTTAAGCCAGTTACTCAAACAAATGATCCATGTTTCTGCTCCTAGCTCCTTCCTAACTGCCAGCACTATCCAGGTAGCACTTATAACCACTGCTGAAGCACTTCTACCATAACTTAGATGTCATACACATTTTGAAGTTTTTAGATTGAGCCATGTTTTTAAGCTTGAATACCCCAGTAGATCAACACCTTTGATGCTGCTTGTGCATCAGATTTATGGGTTTGCAAGAAACAGGGAGAGCAAAGGTCCTGCTTGGGATTTTAATATATTTATAAGATAATGAAATTAATTCCATTTTTTTTTTGTTATGCATTAAAATGTTTCTAATTAATTAATCGAAATTGACATGTTAACATTGTAGCCCTATTTTGTATCAATATGTATAAGTGCATCTAAAACAATTACATAAAACCATTAAAATAACAATTTCAGTTTATTTCGGTAACTTAATTCAAAAAGTCAAAAGTCATACATAGATTCATTACCTTTTAATAAACCCTTGATATGCATAAAGGTCTGTTATAGGCATTATTAATGATAAACCGATAAATAAAACCAGATATTTTGGATAGTTTCTCAGAAAATTCTAGCGTTACAGTAATCTATTTAAGAGGATGCTTCAGTTCATAAATTTCATGGAGATGTTATGGCCTTCTTTAATCATCCAAATGAACAGTAAAAAAAAATGAACTATGAATTAAATATCACTCTATGTGTTTTCCTTTTTGAATTATTTTACAACAATATATCTACATTTTTCATGGTAATTTATGTCTGTTTTGATTAAACATCAGTAGAAAAAAACTAAATAAAAAATCTGAGAGCAGAAGCACCAGACCCCACCTGTTCCTAACATTAGGTTATACTGTGTGGGTGTTCTGTTCAGCGTCATTAGATAATGCTGGTTAATGATGGAACAGAGTAACTGATACAGCTGTTGGTAAAAAGTGCATCAAAATGATTACAGGAAATTATTTTCCTAATGAATATATGAAGAAAAGTGATCTTGTTTTTTGTATTGTTATCATTTTAGTTTAAAACAGCAGAGGAGTAGCCTTCATCATATTGTTCACTCAAAATGAAAAAGACCAGGCAAAAGCCTAATTCTATTAAACCATAATGGCTCTCTATTTCATGACTCATCCTATAATCTCTATAAAATTATAACCCACCTTCCTCTTCTTCACAGATATCCTTCGAGTTCCGGTCCTTACTCCACTCCCAGCTAGCCACCATGTTCTTCGACGAAGTAGTGAAGCAGAACGTCGCTGCGTTCGAGCGGCGAGCCTGCAAGCTGTACGGCCCAGAGACACGGATTCCACGAGAGCTGATGTTTCACGAGATTCATCAGACGTGATCTCTGCAGCCACACGCGTCCTCGTTTGGCCTTAAACCGCACCGACGTTCGTTCCTGTCGCACCCGCATGACCCAACCGGCATTTGGTCTCCACTTCAGCTTCAATGGACCCATAACTCCTCATGTTGGAAGCCCTGCCTCAAGCCCTCTCTCATATGCCCTCCTTCTGTCCGTCTACCTCCATTTAAGTTTTTTTTTTTTCTTTCAACCAAACCCTTCATCGGATTAACGGCGTGGCGGTTACAGCTGTATTTATGTTAACTAAACAGTAAATCATTACCACCCCATGTTACCGGCGTAACATTGACTTTTAATTAAAAAACGACATCCTTTTTATCTTTTTTTTTTTAAACAAATACCCCCTCAGAGTCTGAGCTGTGCTAAAGGTTCACAGTGATCTAAGGAAACTGGACACGGCATGAAAAATCAGCTCTGATCACACTATTATACGAAAGCACACTTTGCCTTTTACTTTTACAATTTATTTCCTTCTGGACATTTTAAAATATTCATCAGATATATATTGCCGTGGCTTCAAATGATTTTTTGCTTTTAATTTATTTTGCAGTAGAAATTTGGAAAAAACACTTGTTCTATATGGGCTTATTAAAGGTGCCATGTTTTGGGGACATCATGAATTGTCACTGTTACAGTATTATGAAAAATATGCTTCATTAGTCGCCAGCTGCAGTCACAATGGAACAGGGTGTTGGAGAAAAAAAAAAGAAAATCGCTTTAATCTAGCTGCTGTGCTGTGAGGATTTTATCATGACTTCGCCTCTTATTTTATATTATGCCTTATTTAATAGTCCAGCTCTAGAGAACATCAGCTTAAAGAGGTGGGAGTCAAAACTTTGCACAGAATATTTAAAGTAAGTGATAGAAATGCTGGAGTGTAATGTGAAAAATGCTAATGGGAGAAAAATGAGATCTAAATAATCTACAACTATCTTTGCCAAATTTACTTTTATAAAATCATATAAAAGGTAAAGGATAGGCAATTAAATTGCCATTTTCTCATGATCAAGTCTTCTGGTGCTTTTTTAATTAAAGAAAAATGATTCTGAGACTAAAAAGGTTTCACAGACAGCAGATGTTTCCCTTATTAGCTGCTGATTGTACTTTGTCTATCTGCTGGAGGTGATTAGGACCATGATATCGTTATTACATCTTTATTATATATATATATATATATATATATATATATATATATATATATATATATATATATATATATATATATATATATATATATATA